GATGAGAATCCGAAGATGTACAAGATGCCAACTTTCCAACTGGACAAGTTCGACGACTACACACAGCAGGATCCGGTCCTCTGGTGGGAGGCATTCACAACGCAACTCAGGATTCTGCCTGTCGCCAAGCACGCGTACATCGGCGCCCTGTTCCTGAACTCGAAGGGCGGATGCCAGACCTGGTTGAGCCACCTGGCAACCTCTCATGGCATCGACGTACCGGACTTGAAGGATAAAATCACATGGGAGGAACTGACACGGCTGTGGAAGAAGCGGTTCATCGTCGACGACACGCCGGCTCTTGCCATCAACCATCTGTTCACCATGTCACAGGGCAACACTGCAACACGGGATTGGCTCACGGAGTGGCAGAAGATTGCGGCGGTGCCCGATCTGGAATTGGCATTCACACATCTACGCCGTGAGTTCTACAACAGGTCCTGTGCTGCATTGAGCCAGGCTCTTGGTGATCGCGAGCAGTACTCAAGCTTTGCTGAGATTATTGACAAAGCAAGGGAGATCATCAAGACCAACAGGTCAGCTGCACACGAGAAGTCACCATGGCAGCCGACCTATGTGGAGAACGTACGAACTGGTCCGCGACAGCAGCACTTCGCTGCAGTCCAGCAGGACAGTGGAGATAACCCAGCCACTCCAGCATCAAGTGACGGAGATCAGGTGGCTGCTGTCCAGCCGCGAAGCAACAACAAGTCCCGCAACAATGGGAAGGCGAAATCCGCATCGCAGGCMGGAAATGGACAGCCAGTACAAGTTCCATGGGTCAAGTTCGGCTTGACCGAGGCGGAGTACAAGGTCCGCGGCCGCTACGGCAGCTGCTATTGGTGCAACAGCACCAAGCACAAGACCTCCCTGTGCCAGGATCAGGGCAAGGAGGATGTGCGACCCCGCCTCATCTCAGGAAACTGAGCTCCGCGGAGGGTGAGGCGACTCCACCTTCTACTCCGCCAGATTCGGCCGCCTTGCTAGCGGCATCCTCCACATCTGGGGAGGATGCGAATGTCGCAAGTCCTCGGTATACTTACGAGGATTATGTTGTCCACTTGGTTCCACCGCTGGACCAACCGCTCCACGTGCAATAGTCCACCGCATGCACGGTTTCATCACCATCGGCAACCGATTCGGCAGCTTCGCCGCAATCTATCGCCGGGGATTCGACGTCATGGTCAAGACTTGAAGAGCTCGACCCGTTGACGTTCACGGACTTCCAGTGGATGCCCGTTCCCTCGACCGGACGATTGCCGAAACCGCATTGCAATGTGCTCATGGCACAATTGCGGGACTACTTGCACACTGCAGTACCAGCTCCGTTGATGGACGCCGGAGCAGAGGTTGTCGACCTTCACGCTTACATCGCGAAGATCGACCGCGAGTTCAAGACGCAACGGTACGACGACATCGACACACCATTGCTATACGTACGTATTCAGATTGGAGAGGCGACCTACAGTGCCTTGATCGATTGCGGAGCGTCTCGCAACTACATCAGCTAGGACTTCATGGTGCGCGCCGGCCTTGGCCCACGCGTCCGGAGGAAGTCCCAGCTTACGCAAGTCACGTTGGCAGACGTTCACACGCACAAGTCAATCGACCGGTGCATTGACAACGTCCCGGTGTACTTTGCCCCTCACGCAAGTGAGGCGGTGTCCTTTGACATTTTGGACACCAAATTTGACATGATCTTGGGCATGTCATGGCTGCGAAACGAGGATCACCCGATGAACTTCTTCCACCGCACCGTTCACATTCGTGATCGGAACGGAGTACTAGTTCCATGCACGGTGTCTCTTCCTCATCATTCGATCAGCTGCCACGTGGTATCCGCCGCAACCATGCGAGTTTCCATCATTAGAGATGACATCGAGGAGATGGGGATGTGTTTTCTCCACGCCCTTCCGCCCCATGACGCTTCATCGACGACTCACCTTCGGATCCACGCATCACCGAACTTCTCGACGCCTACAGCGACGTGTTCGAAGGCCCGCACGGAGTAGTACCGGATCGACCCATCCGCCACGAGATCATCCTCGAGGACGGGGCCGTACCTCCGCGCGGTTGCATCTACCGAATGAGCGAGGAAGAGTCAAGTGTGCTTCGGGCACAACTCGACGACCTTCTRGAGARAGGCTGGATTCGGCCTAGCTCATCGCCATACGGTGCTCCTGTTCTCTTCGTCCGGAAGAAGAACAAGGACCTGCGGTTGTGCATCGATTATCGCAAGCTCAACGCGCANAACCGCGACAAGTGCGAGTTCGCACAGCAGGAGCTGGAGTACTTGGGACACTATGTGACGCCGCAAGGCATCCGTCCGCTTGCGGACAAGATCGAGGCCCTACGAGTATGGCCCGAGCCCAGCAACACCACGGACGTTCGTTCATTCATGGGGTTGGCGGGCTACTATCAGCGATTCATCACCGGATACTCCAGGATTGCTGCACCTATGACGAGGTTACAGTCGCCAAAGGTGCCATTCGTATTCGATGACGACGCACGCCGGTCATTCCAAGCACTTAAGACGGTGATGCTCATGGCACCCGTCCTTAGCATCTATGACCCCACCCTGCCGACGCGAGTGACTACGGACGCTTCCGACTATGGCATTGGGGCAGTCTTGGAACAGCACGACGGCGACGACTGGCACCCTTTGGAGTATTTCAGCCACAAAGTGCCTCCCATGAACTCGCTTGATGATGCAAGGAAGAAGGAGCTGCTCGCATTCGTGATGGCTCTCAAGCGCTGGCGGCACTTCCTCCTTGGGCGTCGTAGGTTCACATGGGTCACAGACAACAATCCATTGACCTACTACAAGATGCAGGACACGGTGAGCAGCACGATCGGACAATGGATGTACTTCATCGACCAATTTGACTTCACACCGAAACATGTCACCGGCCTCTCCAATCGCGCAGCAGATGCACTCTCGCGAAGACCTGATCTTTGCGCTATGACACATCATGCCTTCGCATTCGACGAGGAGCTTCAGCGACACTTCATCCGGGCATATCAGTCTGATCCGGACTTCGGCACGCTCTATGCACAGCTATCTTCGGATCACCTGCCGGTCAACCATTACCGCATTGCCGACAGGTACTTGCTCCTCCACTCGAGAGGCAAGGACTTACTATGTGTCGCACGCGACCGTCGTCTTCGGACTCACCTCCTCGGCGAGTATCATGATTCACGACTCGCCGGCCATTTCGGAGTCGACCGCACTATTGCACGGCTTCGACAACGATTCCGATGGCCCGACCTCATTACCGATGTCACTCGGTATTGCGACTCTTGCGAAGTTTGTCGACGCGGCAAGCCCCGCAACCGCAATCCCTACGGCGAGTTACACCCGATGCCTATCCCACGGGAACCCAATCTCTCCATTGCCATGGACGTCACCGGTCCGTTTCCTCGCGACCGGCTCGGGCACGACGGCATCCTCACGGTTGTGGACCGATTGAGTAAGTACGCGCGTTTTCTCCCTTGCAAGTACTACTCCACGGCTCCCGAGCTGGCACGCCTCCTGCACACTGGTTGGATTTGTGGCCACGGTGTACCAGAAAACATTGTCAGCGACCACGACACTCGTTTCATGTCGGCGTTTTGGACTGCTCTCATGCAGGAGTCCGACACAACAATGAAACCAAGTTCGGCTCGACATCCTCAGACAGACGGGCAGACGGAGCAGGCACATCAAACCGCTCAAATGATGCTTCGTACGCTCATCCGTCTGGACCAGAAAGATTGGGTTGACCGCCTCCCCGACATCGAGTTCGCCTACAACACTTCGGTGCATCCGGCGATCGGCGTGACTCCATTCGAGT